CAAATTTTATTTTACAGTGAAGAGGCTTAATGGTATTTAATGCTAATCGTGTGCTAAACAATTATAGAACAAATGTTAGGATTTCTCTAATAATAGGGAGCTAACATTTAACTCTTCGTCTTAAAAAAAAAAGCATAACTTTGGACAAATATAAAATTAAGATACAGACCCCAGGTGTAAGATGTTCAACGTTGCACATATAGATCATAAAACTTTTCAATAGATGTTCTCAGTTGGTAAGGCAAATAAGAAATCTCTTGCAATTCCCAATGATTTTTACACAAGCATAAAGATTGAGATAATTTATCGAGCAATTGCTTCGGAAATTATAAGTTCACTCATGTACAGAAAGTAGAACCATATCCAACCTGTAAATATATATTTGCAACATATAACCAAGTTTTGAAAAATGAATCTCTGAAACATTTGCCCATATTAAAATGCTAGGACTTCAGAGAAATGCGTATCTTGAGATATAACTGGTTATTTTTTTCCTCTGGTATAGTTTTTGTATTATGACCAAGTACTATAGTGATATTTTTTAAGAATACAACATAGCAATGTTAGTTTTAGTTTTGCATATTCTCCCTTGTTAGGCTGTGATTGGTCAGGCATGGGGTTGCTCTTGTCCTAATTGATTGGACTGAGTCTGTCAAAAAGGCTAATGAGCCTAGCTCCGCCCACTGTGGGTGGCTCCTCCCAGGTAACATAACAATGCCCTATTTCTTTAATTGTAGGTAAATAGTAATCTTAAATTGCCCCAATTTAGTTGAGCTAAGAAGTTTCTTTTCTACTTTTTTCCCTGCAAAACCTCTTCCCATAACTACAAAGCCCCTCATTAAGAAAATAATCGCAGGTGGAGGAGAAATTCCCCAAACTGCCAGATTATCCATACTTTCTTTGCTTTTGAAATATACAGAAAACCAAAACTACCCATTAGCATCAGAAGGGAATGAAGCATTCTGAAATTCATACAAATCTGTCACTCTGATTTTAAAAAAAATCTTGCATCATAGATTAGGGGAAAAAAAATCTTAGAAGTTCAGTATTCATAAAACAAATCTCCCCAGGATGAAATCTACATTTTGCACTTTCCTCAACATTTGAGACCTCATGTTAAATGAACTCACAAAAAAATAAAAGGAACATGAGAAACTTCCCAAGTGATTAGTTTGTTGTAAAAAAATTAATGTTAAAACTTTTAAAAGCCTTTTAAAACTTTTTTCTGCACCTATTACAAAAACTAGGAAAAAGAATGTGTCTATTAAAATACAAATACAATACAGTAGTTTTTTATATGGCCCAACCAGTACTTAAAAGACAAATATTAAGTTAATATATACTACTACTCACAAATAGCTTTATTGTATCTGCTAGATTCCTTGTATTAATTTTTAGAATTTTAATTTAACAAAATTAAATGGAACCTGATATGCTGTAAAACACTTGTCTAAAATATCTCTCAATAGGTATTCTTTAGGTCAGAGGTCGCCAACCTTTTGGACCCCAGGGACCACCAAACTCGTAATTTTAGATCCCAGGGACCACTAACTGGTTCTGTGGGTGTGGCCTAATTTGTGGGTGTGGCTTGGTGGTCATGTGAGTGGCTGGGCATGGCTTGTATGTAAATATTATAAATATTTAAATATTGATTTTTTTTTATAAAAAAAGCAACCTTTACCCAAAATCAGGCAAAGCAGGCAGGCAGATTGAGTTGCTCACAGAATCAGATTCATTCAGAAATCTATCTATCTGCCATTGGCTAGCTCAGTCTGTCACATAAAATTTGCTAGCAAGCAAACTCACAACATTAACTCACAACACACCATATATGTAAATATTGAATTTTTTATACAAAAAAGCAACCTTTATCCAAAATCAGGCAAAGCAGGCAGATTGAGTTGGTCACAGAATCATTCAGTAATCTATCTATCTGCCATCGGCTAGTTCAGTCTCTCAAATTTGCTTGCCGTGAGTCTGCACTCAATTTGCTTGCAAGCAAACCTTCAGTCCTAAGGGAGGTTCAGCTGTGCTTAGCTAGAAAGCAAGAAGTCCAACCATTTCCTGTTTCCTAGCTAATCTAAATCTCCCATCACAGCAGAACAGATGATGGTCAGAAAAAGGAAAAATAGCAACTTAGCAGACAAGTTTGCCGGGTAAGGAGTGAGTGGGTGGGGAGGGTTCCCGCAGGCCATGTGGGCTGAGCAGCCTTGTGTTTCTGTGCAGCCTGGATTAATTGCTTTGTGGGGGGTGCTCTGGGGGTGAGATTTCTCTGCGGCCCACCAAAATTTTCTCGCGGCCCACTGGTTGGCAACCGCTGCTTTAGGTGTTGCTATCTGGTGCTTTGGGAGGGTGGGGAAAACACATTCGAAGAGAAAAAGACAAAACTGAAAGTAAAATTATGAAATCCTGCAAAATAAAAGCAGCTGTTTACCATCATGCCTTCTTAGAAAAATTTTGTGATTGTCAACTAAATCCATGGCATGCACTCTCAAAATTAAAAATGTGCCTATTTATCCCAGTGTTGCGTGCTCTACACTATACTAGATTGGGGTGGATACTTTTAGTGATTCATCAGATCATTTGATGAACATCTCAAATACAACTCAGCTATAATCCCAAACAATCTACAGAAAAACTTCATAGGTAAACAGGAAATGCTCTCTTGATGAATCTCTCGTATGTACATACAGTTTACAAATATAATGCTAGATATGCTTACTTTCACTTTTTTGCACATATTTCTCAGTCAGGTCTTTTATTTTTCTTGTCATATAATACCTAATTATATAGTAGTTTCTATTATTGAAAAAAAAATATGAATAAAACTAATATGAAATGTTAACCATCAAATCAGTCCTCCTTTTCCCCTTCATTCATCTATATTTGTATCTCAGCAGATTGTTTACAAGCAAATTCTGGTGTATTAAAAGATTTAAGAAAACCACCTGGCAACCTGATATCTGCTCAAATTTTATTTTTTTCCCATTTAATAACTTTTCTTGTCCCATCTATTATACCAGGGATCCCCAACCTTTTCGACGCCGCGGCCCGGTTCCGGCGTCAGCTGGGCGCCGCGGCCCGGTTCCGGCGTCAGCTGGGCGCCGCCATCTTTTTTTGACGAAAAATCACTTCTGGTGACGTCACCGGAAGTGATTTTTCGTCAAAAAAAATGGCGGCGCCCAGCAACCAGCGGCCCGGTAAGGCTTGTTCCGCGGCCCGGTACCGGTCCGCGGACCGGCGGTTGGGGACCCCTGTATTATACGACTAAATTTCTCCTGTTTATCTCCTTCAATTAGCCCAAACAGTACATTTATAGAAAAACATTTTTGAACCAAGGTGCCTCAAATCCATTAATTTATAAGAATGTATATAAAAACCAAGACACACTACACCGTGTAGCTGGTATTTCAAGGACCTACATATCAGTTGTTTTCAAAAAGTTGTGGTCACGATTGTGATTTCTGATGCACCCTGCCAGCTTCCAACAAAATCAATGGGGAAGCCGGCAGGAAATCATCAGTCACTCCTGCTCCCACTGCTTTTTTTGCCAGTCCTTAATCATTTGGTTTTTCTGTTTAGGAAGTATCTCTGAAAGAATGGGTTATGTAGTTTTGTTAGATCAGGAAGAGTTCCAATCCAGCCATACCTAAATATTTTTCAATCCCTAAGAATTCAGTAGGAGCCCAAGGTATGAATGTGAATACAGTGGTACCTCAGTACTTGTCATTAATTGGTTCTGGGAGGTGCTACAAGTACCAAACAAACCACATAACTTCCATGACCCTTTGTTCCACTGGGAAGGACTTCCTGTCTGCCTCTTTTACTATGTCAGTGACCTTCCCAGCATGGCCAACTTCCTGTCTTCCCTCTGCGGCCATACCCCTTTTCCTTTTCATCAACATTTCCAGTGTGACCAACTTCATGTCTTTTCTCTGTGGCTGTCCCCCTTTCCCTATCACAGCAGGTTGAGTACCAAACGAGTACTGGAATATTTCTGCATCAAAATGCAAAATTCAACATGTTTTAAAAGAGTCAAGTACCAAGGTATCACTATATAGCTGAAATCAATAGAACTGGAAACTGTACCCATCTAGACATTCCATGTCCAATATGGGATAAATGACATTGTGCTTGCCAATGTTATTTTGCACTTGGTTTTAGTAGTTTAGAATATACATTTCTAGCATTTATTTCAGTCTCAGATTAAAAAGCATATTGTTAAATGCATGCCATATCCAAAGAAGGATCATAGATGTACTTATATTTTGACATGGTAGTTTTGTTTGAAGCCCACAGAATACCTTACAGGTAGTTTCCCATCAATGATATCTGACAACCTCGAATAGGTATAGGTAATCCTCGTTTAACCAAAATTGAGACCAGCAATGTAGTCATTAAATGAACTGTGTTTAGGATTTCATTTCCTTTGCTTTACAATGTCAGAAGGACATGATCCCAAACAGCAGGGTTAGCCCAAGCAACAGGGAAAACTTCTGGAACTTTGTCACAAGGAAGCCAGGTAAAGGGCAAATCTTATAGCCCTTTCCCCCATTCCCTGGCCCTTTAAAATGCTCACTCTAGCAGTGAGATTATTAACAAGAGAATGTTTGTATGTACATTCATTGGAGAGGAAGGAATTGCAAGAGTAAGCAAACACACAATGGGAACAGACATTGATATAAATGCACTAAAACCAGCAGTTTGCCTAGCACTAACTTAGGAAGCAAAAGGAAGCTTTCAATCTGAAACTGATTATGGTCTAGTCAGTTACATGCAGCAATTGTCAGTCCAGGGTTCTAACCTACTAATTAAGATCACAGAGATGAATTTATTAACTTGAGTTGGCATTTTAGGGATACAGTACACTGCCCAAAAAGTAGCTGAAGAGGAGAAACCTTGTTTAACTAATCTCTGCTCTGTGAGGAGAAAAAAAAAATCAGACTCAAGGCAATGCATACTGATAGTAATAGTGTACATGTTACAGAGAGGGACACTGCAAAGATCATAAATGCATTTGTTAAAAAGTTACTTTTTCACCAATGTCACAGTTGCAAACTTTGATTGTTGTCTGGGGCAGTCAATAAAGACACTCTGTTTATGGTACATTATAAAGTGCCTTCTGCAGTACATTCTGAAGCACAACATATGTTATTTTTAACAGAATTCACAGCCCAGAATTCATGTCTTTTATTAATGAGCTATTGATAATTACCACATATTGTTTCTGAACAAATCTGATTTATGCAGCTATTAAACTGTTCATTAAATCCATGCCGACTTGGCTTTTTCAGGTGGCTGGAAAAATGAAGTTGGATTTGGGAGATAAATAACTTTGAATCAAGAAGGGTGTAGCCAATCTTGAAAGAGGCAGTAGACAACTCTCTCTTGAAGGCATTGTTTTCAACCTAATCCATCTACTAATTATTGGTACCTATTGGAAGCCAAATGTGCCTTCTATTTCACAGCATCCACCTCCAAATTTGGCAGGCTTTAAGAAAGTCCTATGTCCTGGTTCTTCCCTCGGGTGTTAGGCCAGGGACTTACATAACTTTATTGGAATTATAGGAGGCATTTGGCTCCCAACACAATATATTTTACATTTTGTTTCACCTTTATTTTCCTGTACTGAAGTTTTCAAACCTATAGCCATCTGTAGTTGCCTAACAAGTTAACATATACATTTAATAAACCACACTGGATAACTTTATGCAATTTCCTCCTCAGAGAAAATTTTAAAGGTGGTGGTGAGAATTCAGCTTCAGAAGATCCTACAGGAAATATAGTATATAGACCCTTTCTGTTCAAAGTTCAATGCAAGCATGGGACAGGAACATTGGCTGTCCTGGTTGATAACCTCTACTAGGACTTGGATGAGAGAGTGCACTCCTGAACTTATTGGATCTCTCTGCAACATGGTATCCTGCTAGACATTCTATGAGGAATGAGCACTATTTATAGTGTTTCTCCTACCTGGATTGTTCCAAATGCCTGGAAGAAGAGTGGCTCCTCCACTGAGGGAAGTCACAAGGATGTCACAGGACTTAGCGTTCTTTCCCATGCTTTCCACTAACTACACAAAACTGCAGGGAGCATGACACACTATCAATATATTGATGATTACTATACACATTGCAACCCCAACTGAGCCTGATATGTTGCAGAAATTCTAACTCGGTGTTTGGAAACTAAGAATTTAGATGTCCAAAACAAGATCAGATGTCTTCATACAGGATAGAATTATCTCTATGTAATCAATCTATTTTACTCAATCACTATTTTGGCTCTAAGATTGCTGCATTCTCTCTAAAAGAGCAGGACTACATCTTGGGAGTCCTGGAATTGTGGGTACTGCTTAAACAACAGTTGGAAGCTGTGGCCAAGGCCGCTTTTTTCCAGTTGATGTGCTAGATGTGTGGAACTTTTTCTAATATGGATCCCTTGAAATAGTGATTCACATCCTCATCACTTCTAGGCTAGTATATTGCCTTTTTCATGGCACTGCTCTTGAAGATGATTCAGAAGCAGCAATTATGTTGAGGTCACTACACTGATTGCCAGTAGACTTTCAAATCTAATTCAAAGTGCTGGTTTTAACCTTTAAAGCCTTATATAGCTTGTCACCTATGTATTTGCAGAACCATCTCTCCCAGCCAGAATCTTTGCAGCTCTGTTTATATTCCCAAAGAACTAGAAATATTTTATTTTGAAAAAGCTTTTAAGATAGACAATATGTTTGCGGCTATTTTGAATTCCCTAAATACATGGTAAAGAACATTCATGGAAGATTTAAAGACTCTACACATCACATATGAAGACACTGAAGACCAAGACCAAAAATGCAGGAGATTCCTCGCTGCCCAATATGTTATATAGCAAGGGTCTAATGATAATAAAAAATGTAATGTTTATACTTTTGAATAATTGTTTTAAGTGTAAGGATTGCTATAGAAATTTCATAATTAAATTATTTAGATTGTTTTCAGTTGTAAAAGTATTGTTATATACTCAATATTTACAATACTGATAAACTAACTTTTGTGGTTTGTTGTATAAACATTCACCTTGATACATTAATTTGCTACAAACTATTATGTCTTCCTAAATTAACTCAAATATCTAGATTAGCACGATGTAATGGTCCGTGTTAGCTACCTGAATCCTGCAGTACAACTTACACATAAGCTGTCTGAAATATATTTAAAAGAATGCTGATAGGTTAAACTGATATCTCAACTACTTTGCTGGCCTTTGGACTTTATCTACAATTTAAGAAAATAGAAGCAGCCAATTTTTAAACAGCATTCAGAATTTTTTTTCACAAAGTTTTTTAATGTAGCAGCCACATTTTTCCATCATTTAACAATACAGAAATTTCAATGGTGCCCTTATGCATGCTATATAAATATATAATTTTTAAAATAACATAAGTTCTGTATGATCATAAGTATTTAAAAATAATAGAATTAGTGGAGCCTGCTTATTTCCCTTACAACTTCAACACTTACCTTAATTAGAAATGGCTTTACTTATGCCATGTTTTACTATACACTGCATGCTTTACAGATGTCTTCTATTTTTATTACAATTCTGTATTGTTCATTCACAGTAAAATAGATTTCAACTATTAAGTTCATTGAAGAAGTCTCACCCAAGAGACTAATTTTCATACTTGTTACAAATTGTAATAAAAAATATTACAATTCCATACTATCTTAAAAATACATTGTTCATTTTAATTGAAAGCAAGTGATTTTTCCAAGCTAACTATGGAACATTATTAAAAAAAACTGGTTAGATCAAAACTGCCTACTCATATTCAACATAATCTAATAAACTGGACTATGGCCATATTCAATTCCAACTGTTGAAATATCTTCAATTAAGATGACAAGGCAGCCTTAAATTAATGACACTACCCAGAACTTTGACCAGATTCTGTCTGAAAGAACGTGTTTCACACTCACACCGAAGGCTAAAAGAATGTCGGTACCTCTTTTATCCAATAAAAGATGCTTCTTTTATCTAATAAGTATCTGCTATTGGTCTCACACAAGACGTCAGCCTGAAATTAGTAATGAATTAAGTAACCCAAACAATGTAATAACTCCTGGTTCAGTTAACCACAGACTAATGTGTCAACTAGTTGGAAAAAACCGTCCAACCTTCTCTCCCAAAGGCCTTTCTAACACAGCAATACTCAAGACACCTTACGCCCCCAAACTGCGTTGAGTCAGGGTTTTCTCCCCTCACCGGGCCCGTAGAACTTGCTGCCTTTGGTTACATCGAAGACTTTGCCGTTGACGGCCAGAAGGATGCGCGGCAACCGCGCGCCGTCGTACTCGCGCAGCTGCTCCAAAGTGAAGTCCCGCCGCTTCATGCGGGGCAAGGAGTGGGCCTGACTTTGTTGCGCCGCGCCCCCCGCTCCGATCCTTTTGCCCCAGCGCTTGTAAACCTGATAGGCCAAAAGCGTCACGATCACCAGCGTCAAGATAAATAGCATGTCGAACCAGCTTCCCCACAGCCAACTTCCGGACGAGGCAGTAGCCGCCGTCTCCGGCGGAGCGCCGCCGTCGCCTTGTTTCGTCCTTAGCTTCCCAATCCCATCGTCCGCCATCACTGCCCAGCCAGCGCCTGCCTGAAAGGAACCGCTCCGCCCCAGTCGGGGAGGAGGGGAAAAGGCAGAGGCGGAGCACCTTATGTGTTTTTTCATTCCTCGCTCCGATTGGTTGCGGTTAAGGACACGTCACCCATAACTAGCTCGCGCCCAGCAGAAACGAATAAAAAACAGGTGCACGCGGCTACCCAACGGTTGAATTCCACCTTACGAAAAGCTTCGTTGAAGAGGGCGGGAGAAACCATGAAGCAGAAAAACGCGCCTGCGTCCGTCCTCCCCTTGCCAGCCCCGCCCACCCCTCATATTCACAAAAACATTCGGTCTTCTGTCGCTGTCGGTTTGGAGTTTGGCGGGTGGTTGGAGCTGCTGGAATGTAGGCGTGCTTGATGGATTCTGACGTTGTTGCGGGCTGAGCTCGTATACCGCGAATGCTTTTGGTTTATCATCATTACTATAAATACGCTTCAGGGTCCCGCCCTGCAGCATAAAGCAGACGGTCACGCCGTAGTTGCTTATTTGGAGAAGGATTTTCGGGGCGGAGTTTCAATGTCCTTTCTCCAGTGGAGAAGATGTACGATTTCCTAAGTCTCAGCCTTACCCAACTAGATTGGGTTGTTTTGGACCTCAACGCCTATAATTTTCGATGGAATTGACTAGGGGTTGTGATTGGTGATCTCATTTATTAATAAATGAGCTACAATTGCTGTATGAGGACATAACAATTAGCAGGTCTTGTCTGCATCAGCCACAGAACACACAAAGCACTAATAATACTTAATGTCCTGAATTCACTCAGCCACAATATCCAGAGACGTTTTATAAACACTTGCTAATAGATACATCTGCTCCTGCATAAAAGCACCTCTTGAAGAGAATTCAAAGATTTTTCCCAGTAATGTTAGAGGATTACTTCACACTTGATCTCATGCTAAATGAATAACTATCTATACATAAAAGCTGTGTATGCTTTAATTAGTTTGATCAAAATAATTTTATAGTGCTTTTTTTAATGAAAGCATCTTTCATTTAAAAAAATCATTTTTATGAAAGCATCTTTCATCAATTAAAATTGCTTTAAAACAAAACTATATTTAAAAATTTAGTGTAATTTACAGGAAAAGAGTTATAGACATTAGATAGACTCATACAATTTTCAATGAAGAAATAGATGGCTAATTTTCATATTGTATAAGTTGCTGCCAGATTTCAAGGAAACTACAACTTGAGATAAAGAATTCATGTCATATACACTGTATGTAGAGACACCAAGGATGAGACCAGGTTCTACAAATCAACAGCATCTTGTGTGCTGCCTGGCTTTTAGAAGATATAATGTGGAATTAGCAGATGTTATCTGCTGACCTGACAATTTCAAATGGTTTCACATTGTTTTGGACATGGATTAGTTTATACCGCTTGGCTTCAGATATTTCAAGCTCAGATGGCAGGTAAATTATTTCCTTAAATGAATAGT